ACAAAGTGAGTCGTTAATCGAACCGACGACTTTATCAGCTAACCTAACATTTTGTTCTAACCAAGTTTCTAAAGTAGATTTCTCTTATTTTAGGGCTTTCTTTATAAGAGACAAACGAAACGACCACTGCTTACTAAACTTGGACAAACAAACCATTTAAATTAACTTCACATCAAAAAACCAAATTAATTTTTAGATATATATTTTTTTGTATTGTATTTTTTTGATACTATCAACCGAAAGATTTTTTAATACAAACACAATTATGGTTGTTACTAAAACAAAAAAATTTTTTATTTAAAATTTTTATTTTACGTTAATTTTTACATATTAGTTTTAACACAAGTTAAACTAATTTAAATCAACACATATAAAATTCTTTCCAGTACACACACATAAAGGTTATATAAACATATTATATAAACAAGGGGTTATGTAAATACATAAAAGTTATATATACATTTCAATAACAATTAAAAATATATTTATATATCTCGATGAGAACATTACTTGGAATCAGCATATTAATTATGTATGCACTAAAGTCTCTAAAAACATTGGAGTTTTATAGAAATCTCAAACTTATCTCATTAAGAAAAACTTAAGATAACTATATATCTCATTTATTCACTGCTACATAAACTACGCTAATATTGTCTAGGGAAGTACTGAAAAAAGTAAATTTTCTCGTCTTCATTGCCGACGGAAACGAGCTATTCGCATAATTAACTTTGCTTATCGTTTTTCACATTGTAAATCATATTTTATTGAAATGAAAATTCTAAATATATTTGAACTCAACGTTTTGAAAATTTTATGTTTTCCCAGTGGACACGGACGCAAAAAAGACGTCTTTTTACCGTCCTATACTCGTTTAGACATCTCTTGAACTTCTTTTGAACGTTTTGGACGTCTTTTGAACGTTCAAAAGACGTCTTTTTTTGGTCCGGTGCGCACTGGATTGTTTAAATGTGGAAAAACAATCTATGTATCCTACAAACGCCTAAAGTATGCCGCACCTATAGAATAAACTTGTTTTGCAAAATTTTTATTTTGAATGACCGAATTCTTTTTGTTTTTTATAAAAACAGAATAAAAAAATCAATTCTTACCTTCAATAACATTTTACAGTATTACTAATTATTTTATCTACTTTTTAACTTTATTTTTTGAATTGAATGTTATCTGATTTTTATTAGGACTGCTATCACGCTTTATATATATATATATATATATATATATATATATAAATATATATATATATATATATATATATATATATATATATATATATATATATATATATATATATATATATATATATATATATATATATATATATATATATATATTAATATATATATATATATATATATATATATATATATATATAATGACCAATTACTGAGTTAAAGCAATTACTTTTTTTTTTTTCACCCGGCCTATTGTATGTCGTGATATTACAAAATAAACTATTAAAAGTCTATATATATATGTGTATATACAGTATGGTGCAAAACTGAACCAGAATGCATAATATTTTTATTTTCTTATAAAGAATTTAGCATTTTGAGAAAAAATATTGTTGGTAGAAATTATAATTAAACCTTTTATGTAAAAATATTTGTTATCAATTTAATTTGTTGATCAATTTTTAAGGTTATGAAAGAAAAAAATAATTAAG